CTTGTTACCAGACACAGAAATAGCTTCCTTGGATTTTGATGGAAAGGAACAATCAAGTTGGGCTTTATCTGCATACTTGTGACAGCACACCCCAAAACTCCAGACAGCCAGTGGTTTCATGTAGATGTTATATGGCATAAGGGACAAAACAGAATCCCCTGAGGGACACCACGGGCCAGTGGCTCAGTTGAACTGAGCAGAGTTTTGCTGGGCACACAGCTAGCTTAAAATAATGTATATGCCTAGTACATGATCAGACCCTATGCATTTCACCTTTACCACATTTGCAATGAAGAAATAATATTTTAAAAACAGGATAGGTTGGTAGCACCTTACCAATGGAACCTTCCCAATTAATTCTAGAGTATGAGCTTGCATGAGATGAAAAAAACTGATAAAGTTGCCCTTATTTAAAAGGTGTTTTGGGAATGCAGTTGCTAGTTGTATAATTTGTCTCTCATGCTTTGATACTTCTGTTTAAAAATGTTATCTTCATTTTATGCTCTTCAATTATGCTTCTATTTTTATTTTTACCATGGTCTTTGGGCTTTGGTTTGAAGGATGGGCCAAATATAAGTTCCAAACATGAGAAAACAAGGTGAAAGCAAGGTTATTGTACCCTACAGCAGTGGTTCCCAGTTTGGGGTAACCCAGGTGTTTTTGGACTGTAACTCAGAAACCTTCACCACTTCCTGTGCTGGCTCGGGTTTTGGAGAGTTGCACAAGGTTGCATTGCATACTCTCCAGACCAGCCATCTCCAGCCAGATGCCTTATGTCAGGGATGTTAGGCTACAGCTCTCATCATCCACCAACCAACACAACCAGAAATATTTCCATTCTAGGTTGAGGCAGTAGCATGGCCTTTAGTCTTTTGAATATAATGTTATTTTCCTTCTATGCAATTTTATGTTGTATCTTTCTAAAATTACTTAATTCTTTGGATATGCAATAAGAGATATTGTGTACTATAGTTAATAAGTAGCAAGGCACTCAACGTTATTTAGTGCCACTGCCCTGTTCTTCTTTAGGTGAGACAATAACGTTCTTATTTAGCTCCCTGACTGGTGGGTGCTCTAATCTTTCCCTCACATGTGATGTAAAATACCCTGCCAGTTGTTCATCGTGGGATATTTAAAGAATTTCCTATTTTTCTCCTTACTGCTGGGTGAGGAACATGTGTGCACCTGTTCATTTGGACTACAGTTCCCGTTGGCCCAACCCAACATGACCAACAGTAACAAATTCTGGGAATGTCATTCTACACATCTAGATTCCCCAACCCTCCCTTACTGTGTGCCCTTTAAGTATCCAGCAAACAAATGTTCTTTGGTTTGTTTTTTCTCAGGTACTGCTATGTGGATACTTGGTAGCAATGACTGATGTGGAATCTACATATGCAGATTTCATTGCTTCTGGAAGAACTGGGAGAAGAAATGCCCTTCATGATATCCTTGTGTCCTCTACAAGTGGGAATTCTAGTGAGCTGTCCCTCAAGTTATCAGAACTTGATATAAATAAAACTGGTAAGTGCTCAGTTTAAAAAAAATTAGAGAAAATCATTAGTATTAGCAAAGCAAGGTGGGATTGCCATGTTGGGTTGTTGCATTGAAATTCATGAAGTGATTTGGGCATCTTAAAGACCCACATGTATTTTTGTTTTGATTTTTGCAATAAATGATTTTGTGTTTTCTTTTGTTGTTGTTGTTGTCTGAAGAAGTGGACTGATGTTTGGCCTGCACCAAATAAAGCCTGTTCATCTGTAAGGTGCAGCAATATTTTTGTTGTTTTTGTTTTCATTAATATTAAATACTATTAGTCATGGGGGGTTGCTAGAAATTCTGTTGGGCTCTAATGCCTCCTCACATTTTTAAAAATGTAACTAGTTTATATTTAAAAAAATCTTTTCTTTCCTCATGAGCTGATATCGTTCTGAGGGTCACAAAGCAGTGCCCCCACCCCCAAAAAAACCCTTCCCTGGAGCCCATCAAAATCCTTGACTCTCCTATATGTTTAAAAAAAGATTTCTAAACAACATCCAATGGCACACTGCAAACAGGAAGAACATGACAGCTCCTCAACTCATGGCGGCTGCCAACCCAGTTGATTTGCCACTTCTTTGTCTTCATCACTTCCTCCCATCTCCTCCTCCTATTATTATTTCTACAGTCCAATCACCACCTCATCTTCCCACTTTGTTTCCCTAGTTTTCAGAAGGCTCTGTGAGGGCCCCTTGAAGTCAGACACTGCTAGTGAACTTTCCTGGCTGCAGCACAGTGTTCCCCAGACAGCTCACAAAAATGCCCAACTTTGAAAGTCCTGTGAGCCAGCATTTGAAAATAGCCAGGTTTTGAGAGCTGCATACAGTATACGTAGCTCTCTGTGGAGTGCCATGTGCTGTGTGGAGAAGCAAAGTGACCACTTCTGGTGATCTGTCTTCAGAGACATCTCCCTCAATTTGAAAAATGGTAGGGCCAGCCCTGACAGACTCCTTGCCACAGGGGTCCAAGCCAGTTTCATCAGAAGAGCCTTGTGGCGCAGTGGTTAAACTGCTGTACTGCAGCTAAAACTGTGCTCACGACCTGGGGTTCAATCCCAGGTAGCGGCTCAAGGTTGACTCAGCCTTCTATCCTTCCAAGGTCGGTAAAATGAGTACTCAGCTTGTGGGGGGGGGGCAATGTGGAGACTGCATAATTAACTTGTAAACTGCCCAGAGAGTGCTTGAAGCACTATGGGGTGGTATATAAGCAGCACGCTTTGCTTTTTGTAAACCTGCAGCATTTCCCCAATGCTTCTTCCATCTTTCTTCTTACCAGAAAAGATCTGATAAGGAGGAAATGATGGAATAACTCCACCATGCTCTTTGACTGGTAGTTCTGGAAGTCCTTTGTCTGGAAACTCCTTACATTGTTGCACTTTTTCCACCTCCACCCCTGCCTCCAGTGGTAAAAGGCTATCATATCTGTCATGTTCAAAAAAAGTGTTTTGTCAATTTCCACAACAGCATTGGAAGGACTGTCTCATGGCATCTTCCCAATGTGCTGCCAATAGCTTTTCTATAAGTTTCCTGTGAGATCAATGAAATCCAAATTGTACAGACGCTTGTCGTGGCATTTCTTAATTCCTTGCTGCCCAAAACATAAGTGGTCACAGTGAACTCTTGTTCTACCATTCATGATAGGATTTCCCTAACTGCATGAGGAAGAAGCGCAAAGTAACCCCGTCACTGCTCTAACAGGTGGAAAGCCTAAAACGAGAACATACCACTGTGCACGGAAATCATGAGGGAGAAGCTGCATGTATAGAGGGCTCTGTTCTCTTCACGGTATTGCTCTCCATGTGGAGAAAGTGGCAAGAGAGAGTAAAGGCCTACCTGCTCCCTTTCCTCACACATTCAGGGTAATCCTAGAGGCTGGAAGAGGGCTATAATAGCCTGTGCTTTTTTTTCTAAAAGACTTAGATGAATGGCTTGTAGTTGCAATTCTAAATGTCTGTAGAATAGCTAAGTAATTCTGAAAAAATCAGGACAAGGCCATATGGTTCCCAAAACAATACGAATTTAAGATAATGGTATCGCCTATTCCTGCACAGGTAATTCTGGTAAAAGTGAAGTCACTTGGGTAAGACTAAACTTTCTTTTGCACTCACCTTGTTCACTGGCCTTCAGTGGAGAAGAATTTACAAAGGTGACTTGTATTGGTTTGGGCATTTTTCACTCTAGCATCTTCACTTTTGTTTTTCTCTTTGTTTTGCAGAAGGGGAAGGAGATGCAGAGAGGAAACCCACTGAGCCAACTGGGGAAACCCAGGGGGAAGCCACAAAACAAGAGAGTTGACATCCCACTTTGACCAACAGCAGCAACTGTGAGATGTTTTCCCACAAATGCCTGCTGGAAAAAGCTGGCACCTCCTGAGCAAGCCAATCAAACAACAACAGCCACAAAAATTAAGAATGGATGGGTCTTGCTATTGGTCCCTGCCTGACCCCCTACTAAAAAGGGGGAAGCAGGTCATAGTAGCAGACAGAACTTCCTTTAGTTTAGCTAGTGATGGTTGAGACTTTGTTGCTGATCCAGAGACTTTCTTGACAGATGGATCTTATTGCAAATGGCCACTTGACGAAATGCCCATAAGAGGTAAAGGAAACTAGATCTTACAGCAAATGGGCTTCAGTTCACTAGGGGCATGAAGGGCATTGTATGGCTACAGCTTCAGTGATCTTCAGAGGTTGGCTAGAGCATTCACCTATTAAAATCACTTGCAAAGGGAGCACAGGTTGTCTGTTTTGATTTGAAAGAACTCTGCTTCTGTATTTTCTGCTCTGATACTTACATTGTTTTTTATTGTACAATTTAGAAGCTCCATACTGTCCCTACTCAAAAGGATTCTGAAGGCAACTTCTATGACTGTGAATTTTTTTTACCATTTGTTTTGAAAGGGTTAGGATTTGTTTTTGTTTTGCATAGTGTGGTGGTGTGCACATGATAGATTATAAAGCCCACTGCTGAACTGATGAAATGGCTAACCTAAAGATTCATCAGCCTTCTTTCATATACAAGATGAACATACGATGTAACTAACGTATAGTCTGGTGTGTCTTGTGTTTTCTCAGTACAGTTAGGTCACCTTGCTTGTTGTTGGTTGGAAATTCAAGATTCAAGCAGAATCTTTTCTTTTATCCCACCTTTTAAGGGATTAAAAAAAAGAATGAAAATGCTTACTTTGTTAGTGCTAAAGTTTTAAGAATAAACTTGTCAGTACAACATAAATGGAGAAAAATTATGTTAGGAGCAGGTGAGAGATGGAGCAATCCCCCCAAACTTGGTAAATACTTGTTTCCCCAAAAGAAACATATATATAGATATATTTTCTCACCTGTCAAGTCACTGATTTTGGAGTGAAAAATGAATGTTGCTGTGGCAATCAAGTGGACACCAATCACAAGACTAATTGTGTTTCCATCCCCAGCCCTGATGTGTTTCTTCTTACTAAGAAAGTGATGCCACATTTTCTGTTTCAGGTATTATGCACTTTTTAAATGTTTGTAAACTTTACTAAAGATTTAGTGTAATTTTGCTTTCTAGTAAATTTGAACGTTGGTTAATGAAACATTCATTACTGTTGTGGCCATGGCTGTCGTTTCTACAGTATATACGTACTGTGGTTAGTTGTTCACCTAGAACTTTTCTTGGAATGAGATGTGTAAACTCTCTGATCAGTATTCAGCGCAGTAATTTAGTGTTAATAAATAACAAATCGGCAATATGTTTATGGTTCATCAACACACTTTGCTCCTTCTACATTCTTCAGTTGTGTAGAAGCACCATTGCTTTAGAGCTCTACAAAGGATCAGACTGCTGTTTTGATTGAAGAATGGCTCCTCTTATGATCAAGGTTTTGACTTTGGATGTACACATCTTGATTCACAGCAAGGCTTCCGTTATGAGAACCTTTCTCACCTTGTTTTCATATTAAGATACATATAATGCCTCCAACACCACATACATAAAAATAACTGAGCATCTTACCTAAATATGCTGCCATCCTATGCATGTCTACTCAGAAGGAAAGCTGTCTGAGCCCATTGGCGCTTGCTTACAGGTTAGTGCGTATACCAGAGGCTGGCAATCTTCATGAAACAAAGGGCTGGATACACCTATCCCTGGACCTTGGGTGGCTCCCACTCCCGTCATGCCAACAATGTTTTCGGTTGAAAAAGTTTTAGGAAAAAAATTGTGCCACCTGCTGGCCAAATATATACTTATAGCTCTAGTCTAGTACAACATCTAGATATAGATGATTACAGTGGGTTGCAGAGTACTAGGAGTCCTCAAAACATGGCAGAATTTCCCTCATGCATTGTAGAGGGTTGCAAAAGAGGGTTTTTAAAGCTCCAATGTGCTTTTGAAAAAATATTTTGAAAGTTTTGGAGGGTGGGAGATGTACTGGGGATCCTAGTGTGGTGTAGTGGATCGAGTGACAGACTGGGACTCAGGAGGCCAGAATGCAAATCTCCACTTGGATAAGATAATCAGGGGAAGATTCCTTGTGAATTTGGGCTCTCTAGGTGCTTGGGGAGGGCATTTTATAGAGTATTAAAGTCAAAACCAGACTGATGAATCAATTTGTCAGATAAAATTGTAAATTCGTAATTTGTGACTTGTTGACCTTGTCAAATCATGAATAAAAACAAATCACCATTTTTTTGATTCATGCCCATCCCTAGTTTTAAGTTTCCTAATTTTAGAAAACCTGTTTATATGAGATAAGAGATTCTGTCCATTGTGTTTCTTTCCCATACCATCAAAATCCAGATCTCAAGGAAAGGTATCTTCAATCCACATTTCAGGGATACCTGAAACTTCCCAAACCTGGTCCTCTCTAAATGTCTAGTAGATGATGGAGGTTGTATTTCTGCACAACATGAGTGCAACAAAAGGTTTATAGATAGGTTTTAATGTTGGTCAGTGATCTGTGGGTTGCTGTCCTGTTTAGTGTATGTCTCAGAAGCATAAGACACCCACAATGTCTTTGTCTCTTTTCAAGGCCACAAATGGTGAACAAAGAAAATGAGGAGGCCAATCCAGATGTAGAAGAATGATCTCCTATACAACATTTTAGAGGGTCTAATCTTTCTCATCCTCCAGCTCCGAAAATAATCAGTGACTTCTTAGGGAGGCAGAAAGCTGAACAGCTGATGTGATATAATTGAAAGCTCTGAACATAGCATACATGATCAAATTTGCAACTCTGCATTCTGGAAAATGTATGAAATCTGGGCTGACCACAAAGTACTTAGCAAACTTTATGGATGGACTATTATTTTAGACTGTGGATGCTTGCTGCAAGATCCATCCACCATTTGTTTTCAGATCCAAAACCTAAGTTAAAAAGGCAAGTGGAAACAGATGGAGCAGAAGAAAAAATGTTTTAATATATTTTCCATTTCTATTCCATAGATACTAATTGATCCTGCAAGGTAAGCAAACAAAAGTCAGACAAAAGCATATTTCCAAATTGGGCACTTTAGTTTTGTGAACTCTTATCTTTTATGGAGGGCTCAGTTTAGGCAACTTGCTGAAAAGCACTGCAATAGCTAGAATGTAGAGGTTTGCTCCGGATCAATTTCTAAGGAGTTTAGTGGTACTTTCTTGGAGCAGAGGATAGTTTCCACCAATACAATGCAAACTTTCACCTGTTTCAAAGGTGCTTATGGTTGGGTTGCTAATACTTTTAAATAATTAAATAACTTGCTCCCAAGTAATGGTGCACAAGATTTCTGACTAAGGATGCAATATGCACACTTTGTCAGAAATCTTATGCACATACAGTATTGTATGTCCATTTACCAAACACACTTATATCCTGCTTTATCACCAGAAGGTTTCAAGGTAGTTCGGGGGGAAAAAACAACTAAAATCCTACTGAGATTTTTATTCTAGTGGAACACAGTCAACATAAATCTCAGCAGTGAAGTATCCAGAGTTAAGAAGTAATTATAGCCTTTAGGGTTGTATGATCTTCTTACGTAACTAATATGATTTTAGCCAAAGTTTTGAAAAAATTTAACAGAAGTAATAGACTGAAGCATCAACTGTAGTGGGATGACAATAAAATACAAGAAGTTCCAGGTTAGTTTGGGAATAATTTGGGAAGACACCTCACATATTTCCTTTCCCCTTTAGGGATGCAGAAGCATTGTGAGGGCTCTGTTAATGCATCAAGTTTGAATAATGACATGTAACAAGTACCAGCATCCCTGTAATCTGTTTATTTGCATTAAATCCCAATGTTTTTCATCATAAACAGTAGAAGATATGAGAAGAAACCTGAACAAGGCCTTTACTTTCTCAAATGTTGTTTTCCCAGTGGACAGTACTAGAGATGGTGGCTTTATAGGCATGTACAAATACAAAGCCCGCTGGCACAGGGAGCTGTCTTGATGAACACCCACCGCCAGAGCCCACCAGGCTACGTGGTGCATGTGGCTGGTGTCATCTGTGCCCCAATCACTGCAGTAGCTTGGCTGCCGCAGCCCCATCTCCCTGCTCGGCCAGCCACTCCACAGCTGAGCAGGGAGGCTTGTCCTCCTGCCCCTTTGCAAGAGTGGCTGGGCAAG